ATATGAAGGCAATTATTTGCCCCTTCAACGTTTAAATGGGCATAGGCCTTTGTGTTTTTTCCGATCAAAGCAACCATGAGATTGAATATCTCCACTCGACGATGCTCAATAGCTGCATGCAATAACAACCGTATGGTATTTTTATCTGCATACCAAATTAGATCAGGAAAAAGATTTAAACACTCTTGTACAAGTTGAAAAACTCCATGCTCTATGGCTTAGTGTAAGATTGGGGTATTTTCATTGGGGAAGAAGTATTTTTTCTTGATGTACTTCAAGTGAGATAACATGTTGGAAAAATAAAAAGTCGTATGGTATAACAACTTAGTGGTAAAAGATCTAATATCATTTACTGTTTCATTATTTTCCCCCAAAACAAAGTAAAGTTAGAAACAAAGATAAAGTAGACACAAAACTTTAATACCTTTACTGAACTTGCTCAGACATACGAAGAATGAAACTGCTGTGCTTTTAGCAACATCAGCTGCTGAATGCAAGTTTTTGTGTTTTGTTTCCTCCACATCAATTTGAAAGCCATGGAAAATTAGAATAACAACACACAAATTGGGAACTGATAAAATAAATCAAGATCGTCCGCCATAGCAATGCAGTTGATAGTCCGTAGTGATAAATTCGAGCCATCTGAGAGGTAGAAGTCCTATGTTTGATAGATTGGTAACATCTTTATTTTGTGTTTCCCATTAGGCATCCCACTTAGGGGAGAAATTTTTTTACTTAATTAATAAGGGTTATTATCACTTTACCTTCTTAACGTTTGGTACCATTATCAATTTCCCCCTTAACGTTATCTTTTAGTCATTTTACCCTCAAGACTAATGTTCAAACTTAACGGAATTTGTTAATTAAAATGAAAAAACATGTTTAACCCTTAAATTATTATCACTTTACCCCCCATAAACTATAGTCTCATTATCAATTTACCCCCTAGAGTTATTTTTTAGATAATTTATCCTACAATTAAATCAACTTAGCAGGTTAAAAAACTGTAGAACCAAATAGCTTCTTCTTTACATAATAAAAATAATAAAAATTTAGAGTGGCTCTTCTCCTTTTTAGTATCAAGAAAGAAAGTCAAATAATTAATTTCTTTCTTCTTGGCAATCTTATTAATATTAAAAAAAAGAAAGATGGAGAGGGGGAGGGAAGAGGGAGAGAGAGAGCTCAATTCTTTTTTTAAAAATTACAAATAAGAAACAATTGAATACTTTTATTATTTTAAAATTATTTCACTTTTCTATTTACTATCAAATTCCAATTCTGATCTCGACAATTTTAAAGTAATACGATAATGTTAGACTTTTCTTTATTTTCTTTCTTTGCAAAATCTAATTTTTTGTCTTCTTCTTTCTTATGCCTTTTTCTTTTCTTAGTATTAATAAGTGTGGAAAAAAGAAATTTGAAAAAATCCTTTTATTTTTATGTTTTGTGATCTTTTAAAGTGAAAAAAGGGAAGAATAGCCATTCCATATAAAAAAAGGGTAAAAATATTTAAAAAATTTTGACCATACTAGTTAGATTAATGATGAGGTAAAAAGTTTAGAAAATAATGTTAGAAACTGAAATGATTGTATCATTATAATTTAAACGAATAAAGTGATAATAACAATGTAGTAATGCTATAAAATAAAGGGAAAAGAGTTCTAATGACCCTCCAACTCTTTTCCAAATAAAGTTTTAGCCCTCCAATAATTAATGTTAAAGTTTTGACTCTCGATCTAATAAAATAGTATATTCGTGACCCTTCTGTCAAATTCATCAGTTAAAATTGACGGGAAACATCAACTCGTGAGACGCACGATCAAATATCAAGGGCATTATAGTTTTTAAGCAAATAAATGATTTTTCCCTGCAACAATTTCCATCCCTTTTGCTCCAAAACCCTAGCACTAGCTAAAGAAACAGGACACAATGATAGCATCCCAGTTGAAGATGATGTAGATGAGCCTGGAGACTGCTGGGGTTGGGCTTGCTGCTGTTGATCAAGGCGCCTTCTCTGTACATAGTTTCCTCCACTAGGAGCAGATGCAACTGAATTGGTACCAGCAGAATTTGGGGACTGAGACTGCATATAAGGATTTGAGAAAAAGAGTTGAGCTTGCTGCAAGTTCTTTGTTAGTGGTGGGGGCAGTAGGACTGTAGCAGCACCTTTTTAAGTTTTAACACATCCCAACAAAGGAGGAAGGGCGGGAAATGCGGAGCACTCCTGTAATGTAATGGTAAATCGTTGATATATAGAGTGGATTGATGGGTCAGTGAATTGAGAAATTGGCAGCGGCAATAAACTGCGACCCTACTATTGTGTCCTTGTCTCTGTCAACTCTGATGCTGACTTCTCTATCGACGCCTTTTTCCGTTGAGTCCCCTTCACCGGATCCTCCCTTTTAATTCCCATTCCCATATATCCCCCCAATATTCCCTTTGTTATAAAAATCCTTTAGAGCAGAGCACAGTGAGTAAAGGGTCAAACAACAATGGGATTGTCAAGCCCCCTCCCTCGTCCAGAATCCATTATCGTCAGACATCCATCCAGCAGTATCTCCTCCGAAAACCCAAGATTTTTCTTGGAAGCTGCAAATTTTGGTGATGAATATTTCGTGCTTTCGTCCATTATTCCCTGGAAATTGTTGGAGAAAAAATCAGATGAAAGTGTTTTTACTTTTTTTTTGCTTAGAGACTATAATGCCCTTGATATTTGGTCGTGCGTCTCACGAGATGATGTTTTCCGTCAATTTTAACTGATGAATTTGACAGAAAGGCCACGAATATACTATTTTATTAGATCAAGGGCCAAAACTTTAACATTAATTGTTGGAGGGTTAAAACTTTATTTGGGAAAGAGTTAGAAGGCCATTGGGACTCTTTTCCCTAAAATAAAAGGGTATTTTTATCCAAAATTTCTTAACATGTTGAATTGAATTACTTATGGGGTAAAGTGACTAAAAAATAACGTTAATGGGGTAAACTAATAGTAGTAATATAGTTTAAGGGGTTAAAGTGATAATAATCCAATTAATAATAGTTTTCAAGCACAGAAAAATAAAATTAGACCTAAAGTCCATAACTTTGCTCCATTAAAGAAGAGTTGTTAATTAGTAGCAAGATATCAGTAAGGTATTGATTTTCCACTTCGCATTTAGACATTTGCTAAATTGAAAAATGGATGTTGCCATGACCTCGGAATCTAGAGAGGCAAAGGTAATTCTTTTTTCCGTTTTCGAAATACTTATTGCATTTGAAACAGAATGTCTAATTACTTTAAATAAATGCAGATTCAAGTAGATATTTGTTTGTCAAAGTTAAATAAAGAAAAAAAATTTCTAGAATATATCATATACAAACCAGAAAAATCTCAGGATGAGGCTGTAAACGAGTTTATCTTTTTTTTTTTTTTTTTTTTCTTGAGAAGTACTTTCATTATTTGTTTCAAGAGCTAATGCAGGATATCTCTTGAGCTTACGCAAAGCTGTATCTGCAAGAGAAACCTATCACCATTTGCAAAGTTGGTTTACAAGAACTTAATTTAGGTATCAAGTTTTGCAAAAGGTCCTTATTATTTCCGAGGCAAGGAAGGAAGTGGGGATATAGGGGGCAACCACCCCAAAACCCAAGTTTTAGAAATTTACGTTTTTTCCCTCTTCAAATTTGAAACTTTTTAAGAATTTTGTCCATGAATTTACGTCTTTGTCCCTCACATTAGCTTCTTACTAGCATTTTGCGTTGATTTCATAAGCTTCATGTCCTGTTGTTGCTCCTTTATTTATTATTTAATTTGTTCAGTAAATTGTACTTATATATAGACTTTAAAAAAAAGTTTTTAAAGATCTAAAGAAAAGTAAAAAAAATGTTCGATGGAATGGAATTTATCCTATATGGGCTTACCATAGGACCCCGAAGAAATGATTGCCACAATGAGATCAGCAGATGAATAACCCGTGAAGGGATGACAAGGTTCTTTGTCCTCACCACAATCTGAAAACGACTAGTCAGCAGGCTTTTGCTATAATCTTTTTTTTTTTGGGTTCGGGGCCGCATATCCAATGGGAAGGAATGATGGAGCAACAAGGGAATTTCCGCAACTGGTGGACATCAATCTTAGAAGCCAGGAATAGACCAGAAGGTGGGCAACATATTTCTTTATCTGTCCATATTCTATGGCAGATATGGAAAGCTAGGAATGAGGAGGAATTTAATGGGAAAAAAAAACAGCCTTGGAAGACAATTCAGAAGGCGCATCAGGAATGGTTAGAAATGGTGGAATTAGATACTAAGGAATCTAGGATGAGCACAGACGAAACAATAGCTCTACAGCAACACAGTTCGCAGTCAGCTTCAGAATATGGGATACTGGAAGTACGGATTGGGGTAACATCAGATATATCCAACCACGCCTTTGGCATTGGAATCAGCCTGAATCAAGGAGATCAAGGACCACACCGAGGATGGGCGCTACGAGCAAGAAGTTCAGGATCAATTCTGGTGGATGAAGCAATTGCACTGAAGCTGGCAATGTGTAAGACAGCCACAACGCAAGCCAGGGAAGTGCAATTCCAAGTGCAAAACCAACAAATCCTTAACAATATCCGCACGAACAGAGTAAGTGAGATTAGATTAGCGACTGTCGTGGATGACATTCTTCAATTAAGCCAATTGTTTCATATGTGCTCTTTTTGCCTAGTTAGAAAAGATAAGACTCAATTAAGCTACAAGCTTAGCATTCATGCCTTGGGCATTATTTTTGATGAGGAACATTGGTTTCCTTAGTGGTAAATTTGCCGCTTGTAAAGTTCAATCGAGCCCTTGCTCGCACTTGTATATCATTTGTCAAGCAATACAATCAATTATCGTTTCGCAAAAAAAAAAAAAAAGGTTCGGGCCGCGTAGCCTACCGTTTCTTATCCTCGAATAGGCAAAGCGCGAATAATCTGCTAGTGGTGGTCCATTTTTTGTTTTTTTTTTTTAAGTATTGACTGAAATAGTACTTATTTGGAAAGGACCAACTTTGACTTGTTTATCTCACGCGTAGAAAAATTTTTTGGGTTGAGAAATTTTGTGTACATTAACTCAACCACACAAGCAATCTGGATGTAAATCCCCAGTCCAACATCAGCTGCCAATTTTCCTGAGTTCATGATAAATAGAGTTAGTTTTCTTAATGCAATTAACAACTGCACTTACCCCCCATGACGAGTAATGATTTTCGCAAAGTAATCTACTTTTATATGCTAAAATGGTTTAAAAAAAAAAAGAAAGAAAAAAAATACAAGTCTTGTTAAATCTAGTTGATGTTTAAGTTTTTTAGTATTCCTTTTTCTTGAATTCTCGTATTTCATATGCTAATGGAAGTAATTAATAGATTTGTTGCGCTCAATAGAGAAACGTAATCGTGTGCGTAGTTTATTTATTTTGTACCCGTATTTCCTTCATTTGTTAATTCAATTGACGTGCTAGTGGGCCTAATATCTTGTAGCCCCTCTAAAATTGGGAATTTTATGATTGTAAAATTTATTAACTTAGAATTGTGTACTTCATTGAAACTAAAAAAGAAAATTAATCATGCTACATAGTACTAAGATATCATTTGCACTCTATTTGCTTTCCATGTTATGATCTCGTTCTTGTATTATACTATTTATATAGTTTCAAATACAAAAAATTTGCTTTTTTATGCTATGTAAAAGAATTTTGCAGTGGAACTTGATGAGTTTAAATGCTTTAACTACAGCACCATTTTGATTGCATTGTTTTAATTCATTTACTCATAATTGTATGTTGTACAATGATAAATAATGTTTCTTGATTTGATTGAAGCAACTATTATCCATAGTTCAAACGAGTCAATTAAGTAGAGATATTATATTGGATACTTAGATAAGTAAACATTCGAAAATATCATTAAGCAGTTTCTACCTATAGTTTGCAATTCGAATTCATATGAGGAATTTCTTCTGATTTTACTTACCACTTTCTACAATTTCAAATTTAGAAAATATTATTTGCACCAATTTTTTATAATCAAGATAGTTTCAATTCAGATCTTTAACAATTATGTAAATTTGAACTTATTTATGAGATTATAAAGAAATGCCCCTAGCCAAAAACACCAAATCTAAATAGTTTCTACAAAATTTTGAAAAAGACCACTTAAGTTTCTTATCTATCTATCATTTTTTGGCATTATTATATCTGTAAGAAACATGGGATTAAGTCATATTATACCCACCAAATTATATAAATAGTTAGTAAAAAATAAAATTATTTTAGATTAGATTGGACGCAAAATAATTGATGGATCAACTTGACTTGATAATTCAAATTGACCTTCAGTCGGGGGAGAAATCAGAAGTATTACTTGAGAGATCTTTCACGAACATATATAGATTCGAGAGATGAAAGATCCAATTGATACTTTAAAATGTTTTATCATCTTGGATAAGTTTTAGAAGAGACCTTTGGATACTTTTCAATTGCACTTCAAACATTTTTACATTTTCAAACTACTCTTATCTTTGCAGTTGAAATTCAAACATAACTTTTGATCGCAACGGATTCTTATATAATATAACGATAAGGATGTCTTATTGTACATTATTTTTATTGACTCACTATATAATTTATGATTTTTCTATTAAAATCACATGATAAAATCATCATACTTCAGTTCTTATCCTACAAAATATTAAACAACAATTATTAATTATCTTGAATCACAAACACCAAATTCCCGCGCGTCGCGGGCTGTTCCTCCCTAGTATATCATATACAAACCAGAAAAATCTCAGGATGAGGCTGTAAACGAGTTTATCTTTTATTTTTTTTTTCTTGAGAAGTACTTTCATTATTTGTTTCAAGAGCTAATGCAGGATATCTCTTGAGCTTACGCAAAGCTGTATCTGCAAGAGAAACCTATCACCATTTGCAAAGTTGGTTTACAAGAACTTAATTTAGGTATCAAGTTTTGCAAAAGGTCCTTATTATTTCCGAGGCAAGAAAGGAAGTGGGGATATAGGGGGCAACCACCCCAAAACCCAAGTTTTAGAAATTTACGTTTTTTCCCTCTTCAAATTTGAAACTTTTTAAGAATTTTGTCCATGAATTTACGTCTTTGTCCCTCACATTAGCTTCTTACTAGCATTTTGCGTTGATTTCATAAGCTTCATGTCCTGTTGTTGCTCCTTTATTTATTATTTAATTTGTTCAGTAAATTGTACTTATATATAGACTTTAAAAAAAAGTTTTTAAAGATCTAAAGAAAAGTAAAGAAAATGTTCGATGGAATGGAATTTATCCTATATGGGCTTACCATAGGACCCCGAAGAAATGATTGCCACAATGAGATCAGCAGATGAATAACCCGTGAAGGGATGACAAGGTTCTTTGTCCTCGGTAACTTGGGGGAGATAATCCACCATTTTCTTGTCGTCTGAGGGATGTCGCCATTTAGCAGCAAATGGGTTATAGGTTTCCCCAAGGTGAGGCAAATCTGAGTTCTTCTCCACCATTGCTTTGGCAGCCCCTACATTTGCAGCTAAGGCCACGTGATGAACAGCAGTGCAGCCATGTGTGTCTCTGTCTTCAAGCTGCTTCTTATTTAGTTTCTTGACCATTTCCACCACAAACTCTGACTGGCCACAGCTCGCCGCCACATGAAGGGCAGTCATGCCAGGGTTGGAGAATTTGCTTGTCTTGGCCCTTTGTGTCATTATCAAAGATGGCTTTAGCGTCTTTCCAATTCCCTTCCATTGCAGTTCTGTATAGTTTAGGCTGATTGGTTGACTCAGCTTTATCCTTTTCGTCTTTCCAATTCCCTTCCATTGCAGCTCTGTATGGTTTAGGCTGATTGGTTGACTCAGCTTTATCCTTTTGCCGATCTTATAATTCTACCATTTTGGCTGCCGGCAGATTCGGAGGAATTCAGAAGGGACTCGTAATTAACAAAAAGAAAAATTAGTGATCATATCTAAATAAATAATATCATGCAGTTTCCATCAATAATAGTACTAATAAAGTCCAATATATTTTGTTATTCTTATTAGTGTCATTTTTTTTAACTTTCATAACACAGCATAACTTCTAAGTTTGACCATCAGATTTCTAATTATACTAGCATTCATTAAGAATTTGTTGCAAATACAAGAAGCCCTAAATTTCTCCACGGATATGAAACTCCCTAAAAAGTAATACAAATATTTGCACACTATTTTATTACTCTTAAAAACTTATACAAAAATAAGGTTTGCATGCTTATAACTAAAATGATTGGCAGGCCGGCTTAATCAGGGCTGAGTCCATATTTCTCCAAAGCTAGATGCTTAGAGATTTGTGTGGTTTGAATTTTCTGAATTGAGCGGACAGGTCGAGTTCGGATTGATCTAACCTAATTTGTTGACCATAGAGTAGCTGGTCTAAAGAAGATTTTGAAAAATTTTTATTTTATTCACCACACTAATAATGCACAAGATTTATGTGATACATACATACATTCATATATATAGCCTAGGAAGTGAAGAGTTCTATTTTGTTTTCTTTTTTTTTTTTGGGTACTAAAAAGTGTCAGAGCTGACAATTAGCTTCCAATCTGTAATTTTTAAAACCATGTTTGAAAAGCATCGGCCACAATATAATTTAGTACGAGAAACTAAGATCACAGGGTTATGAATCCAGTGCAGCGAAGATTCAAACCAAAACTTTCCAAATCAACTACGAAAGAGAACATTAACTTAAAGCTATATAAAGTAATATAAATTAATATACCAGAAAAGCACAAAATGATTAATTCTTACCACCGTCCATATTTTTCCTGCTTCTCAGAATTCCAAGCACATCTTCCTTGGTCACAGTCTCAACAGCCGTCTCTACCTTGCTCACCACCTCACTTCCCACGATGGCTTAAAGGGAATTAGCTCTATACGTCACGTTAGTAAACTCGTCCTAAAAGTCCCACGTTTCATAGCCAAGTGTTGCAGTCAAATAATTCAATCTGGATAACTCAAATTATATGGTACGTACAAGACAAGACAGTCGCAATACCTTAGCAACACTATGGACCAACATAAAAGCAGATTCTCGTGAAAGAATTGACATCAGACATTGTCATTTTGGATCAACTTACAATCCAAAATCTATGGGGAGGAAATAGCATCATCATCATAATGAAGGCTTTTTTTCTTTTTCTTTTTTTTTAAATTTGAGTGTCCAAACTGGTATTGGCTTAGACTGGGACTTTTAGGACTAGTTTACTAACGTGACGTATAGAGCTAATGGTTAACCTCTCAGCAGGGAAATGGGGCAGGTCCCTGAGCGGTTAATGGCCATGATTTGGCCTCAAATTTTTGTGCGGCTGAGATTACAAGTTGTAACTCGATTTCCACGCCATGTGTGGGCTCCACAAAAATTTGCTTTAAAGTTACGGCATGTGCAAAAAAAGTTACACGATATACAAAGAAAATTACGCGCAGTTAATAATGACCAAAACCGCCTGGGACGGTTGCAGGTGCAACCGTCCGTGCCCCGAGTCCTCTCAGCAGGTGTCTCCGCCTAAATCCTAATTGTAAGTAGGTTAAATCATGATAAAGTGGTCCTTGTCAAAACAAGTTTTCGAGAGAAAGGTAGAAATACGAAAACGTATGCTTGATGAGAAGAGCAGCAGCTTGCTTGACTGCCTTAGACGTTCCTTTAAAATAAATGGGAAAAAAAATCTAATGGTCCCCAAAACAACCATTATGACTACTTTATTGCAAAGTTAAGGAAGCCGAAAAGCGAATCCTATTTTGATCACTATGGCTTTGTCATAAAAGTAGCAATCTTTGGTTTTGGTGTATGATTCTTCTATATCATTTTGTGTACCTATAGTACAAACCAAAATTTTAGGGTTCTAATAATAATAATCAATGCGTGTAGAGTTATAGAATTGAAGGGATAAAACAATCACTTGAAATATATGTTGGAGAAACGAAAATAATCAACTTACAATATTATTGAAATCTCAAACACTAAAAAAAGTTTCACCACAATAGAAAACTTGAGAAACTCTTCTAAAATCTTTCTACAAAACATCCTAAACAATGTCTTATTTATACTCTACCAAACTTACTAGGAAAGAAATCACTTACATAAAAAATTATTTAACAAAACACAAATTCCTAAATCACACAACTACTAAAATCTAACTCCAATAAAACTAATAAATAAATAAATAAATAAATACTTCTATGCTTGGTTTTGTTTGCTAACATATATGTCATTCTTGTTTCAGGCCTTTCAACGGAGGATCCCAGAAGGGTAAGGTCCCCAATCTGGTGGCGTTATCATAGTCCTGAGGACCATGATCTGGTAATCCAGGAATGACCAATCCTAGCAACCTAGAAAAGATCACAGGCAATCCTTCTCTATACTCCATTCCTCTCGTGAAAGGGATAATGAAGCTCCTAATCAGCTCGTAAACGGCATTCAAATGCTTGGGTATAACCGACAGCGGTGAAAAGTAGTTCTTGTTTGGTTCTTCCTCTAGAATCTGTTTCGGTTTTAGTTCCAAAATAAGAGAAAAAGAATTTATAAGAACACTCCCATAAAATAATACAAGGAGAAAAAACTGGGGAATAGATAAAGAAAGGAATAAAGTTTTTTTTTTACCTGCCCTCGGTAGCGGCTGTTGAAGTATAAACAAAGGCCAAAGTGCTTGAACATGAGGGTTTTGTCATCAAACGGTACTCTTGGAACTATATCATTGTTGTAGACATATCTGCAATAGTTTACACCATAAAATCTAAGCTTGTCCTTCATAAACTCCCCAAATTGCTCATCTCCAACTCTAGGCTGCCCGAAAGTGTACACTCCTTCCATTCTTTCCAATAGCTCTTTTTCTTCATGTAAAATCAGTATGGCAGGAAACAAAATTGCCAATGCCCCTCCTAAGCTGTGTCCAGTTACCACGAATTTTGCATTCTGATTTTCACTCAATCTATTTCTCAAAATTTCCCTTATTGTGTAATAGGCATAGTCTTTTCCACCTGAGCCTTGCTCAATTTTCTTAGGCCAACCCCTTCGTTTTTGTAAGCCTAAGGCTTTCATAAATCCAGCATGAATCTTACCCAGACCTTCGATATCATACCACGAAATATCCAAATCAGTACGCCAATCATCAGCTTCAAACGGTTGTGTCCCTCGAAATGCCACCTCAATCAGGTTAGAATCAGCACTAGTTATTTTGTCTTCGAAAATGATGGCTTGTGTTGTGTATGATTCCTCATAATCTGAATGGAATGGGTAGACAAGTTGTAAATTGTAAATCAAACTTCAGAATTGCATTACTTTGCTAAAAGAGTTATTCGTTTACTGTCAATAATTTCTCAACTCTTGACTTACAATATTGTCCTGAATATTTTGGCTTTCCATGAAAACGTAAACGCATGCATCAGCTTAAAACCAGGAAAAACCTTGGAACTTTCACTAAAAAATTCCAAGTTCAGGGAACAAAAGACTGAGTAGAGAATTTGAAGTCCAACTTGTCTAAATTCATTAGTTTCCTTCATATATAGTCAGCTTTTGCATTTTTCTTATATCAAACGAAATATATAGGTTGTATTTTCCGGTAACCAGGAAACTTGTTAATGCGCATTTTGACATGTTAAAGTATGGCCATCATTCATGTTAATTTGCAACTTAATTATACGCATTATCACCACTACACTAGGAGACCAAAATGGTCAGCAACAATGAGTGGCAAGAAATGGTTGTCTTTTGACACGAAAAAGAAATGAGTAAAATTTCACATAAAGAGGAGAACGGAGCCACTGACCATTCCAAAAGTTGAAGGAGCCCAAGAATTCCATCTGCAAGAGTAGAATTGGAAAAAAGAGAAAAAAATGACTTGAAACTTGTTCCAAGCAATATAACGTGAAACTTGCATTGCATGTCCTGAAATTGTATATAAATTACCTGCCAGTGATCTGTGACCACAGTTTTGGCGAAGGCTTCATTTTCATAGGCCAATTTAGCGGCCATTATAGACAAGGCCGCACCATACCTCTCGTCATTAGCTTTGATCCTTCCGTCTAAATCCACTCGCGTGTCCACATTCGCAACTAGCGACCTAAAATTTGCAGCCGACCTGTCTGGCTTTACTACATTTCCTGCAATTAAAGCATACACAAGGCCATTCAGTTACCATATTATTTGGCTCGTTGCATGAAATAAACAACGATCTCCATGAAACATATACAAGATTTCAATGGCCGTCATCATCATTTTTTTTCTCTAGCTAATCAAAAGTTGCCTTCCACATTTTATTGATCTATATCAAATAGAATATGATTTGACACCAAAAATTAGTGCCTAATCCAGTTTCCCTGTGTTGCATAATAATATGCTTTTGCATGCAGCAATCAATTTACGCCTATGATTTTCCGGCGAGGTAATGGATATGAATTAATGGAACATCCAACATAAATAAAACAGAAATTAAAACAAACCCGTAAGAAAATGCAGTAAAAGTCCGCCAAAGCCACCATTGCTGGATGGATAATTCAGCAACAGCTCCAGAGTAGATCCTAGGCCAGCCAAAGGTGTTTTCAACTGAAGGAGGAGCATCTGGGCCACGACAGACACAAAAACTACCCATCGGCGGCGGAGGCCACTTAGGCTGTCTGCCTCCGGGGCATCAAAGAAGTCTCTTTTGTATAATTCGCTTGAATAGAAGATGCGAAGGAGGTCGCTAAAACCAGCTTCTTTCGGATTGAGCAGCAAATAATCTTTACAGAAATCTTCTTCGGAAGGCATATCTAGCTTAGAAGCAATGGTACTCATTGGGTAGATAGATGTGTTGTTACCTCAAAGTCTCAAGGATCAACTGATTTCTAGTTCAAACTTTAGCTATGTGATAAAATTTCTATTGCTGGGTAGATGGTTAAACGATGTGGTGTTTTCTTGAATGAGAACCATTGCCCTGCATATATATGTATTTATAGCCGAGTAAGATCATTAGCAGTCGTCGTCGCAGTTTGAATTTGTCAAAAAGATGACATTCCACAGATACCCAAATTAATGGTTCTCACGTGCAGTATATACGACAACTGTGTAAATGTTTGGCATTTGATTAAAAGTAATTACCCACCATTGATGAATTACTGTAATAAGAATGACCCAGCATGATGTGAATTGTCTATCTTTGCAACTAAGATGGGTTAAAAATGATGTAGATGAAAAGGGGAGAAGGGGAATGTAACTGAAGAAAAATAGTGCTTAGAATGGGGTATAGGGAAGAAGACATGTTCAAAGAGGAGACAAATCGTCACAATCACGGTCAACTGATTGTTCAAAGTGTAAAGAAGAAAAGTAAACCTCAACCCTAAGACCAATGCTTGGCGGCCGAACTATAGATATAAAGAAGTCAATAAAACAACAAGATTAAGCATAAACAATTAGCTAGATATACAACTCACACTAATGCCCTCCTACGTTAAAATACTTTCCAAATTTAATTTTACTTTTAAAAAAATTTAAAGACTAAAAATCTTTCTTAACTAATGTCCGTTGGATATCTGTTAGATAATCTAAACCAACAAAATTTCCTAATTAAGCACTTAATTTTCAAGGAGCTACTAATTAAATTATGATCCAAATACAATTGACCAATTTATTATTGATTAAAAAAAAACACATCAATACTTCCCAATGAGTCGTCTACTTGTATCCAACCGCAAGCACTTGCCGCCTCGTTCACTACTCGCATATTTAACTATTAAATTAGCTTTGGAATCTAAGAAATTTATTTTCTTGAAAACAATATGAACAAGTCAGAATTTGCGATCGCCAAACCGATGTTTCTTCGTTATCGCTCATTTGGTCATGCGCATAACCCACAATCTGAAAACGACTAGTCAGCAGGCTTTTGCCATAATCTTTTTTCTTTTTGGGTTCGGGGCCGCTTAGCCTACCGTTCTTATCCTCGAATAGGCAAAGCGCGAATGATCTGCTAGTGGTGGTCCATT